GAGATCAGATAGTTTATTCAGTTTTTACAAACAATTTAAAATTACAGTATTTTGATTTGTAAAAACGAAATAAATAGTCTGACATTCGAAGTTTTTAGTTAAAATTTTTTTCCATAGATTTCTTATCTTTTACTGAAGTAAAAAGTTCTCAACTTCAAAAAAGAAATATTAATTATTTTCTAAATCTAATCTCACTAAATTTCTATACTATATTACTCATTGTTTCTCTTAACCCTCGGATGGTTTTTGTGGGTCCAACCGGACCTACAAGGCTGTTCTTTGTTTACTGCTACGGCAATTTCTATTCTTTTCTGACCGATCTTTTTTCCACTTGCTAGTCTACTAATGATATATAAAAGCCATATGAAGTCATGCGTACAGGTCTCAAAAGAAAAAAGTTAGAGGATGGGTCCGCATGGATCCCTAAGAACCATCGTGTTATACAGGTAATTTTTACTCTTGTCAGACCTTCTCTCTACATGTCTAGAGTTTATTTTTCAGATGATTCTCTAATTAATCACTGCCAATAGTGATTTGAATATTGTTTTCATATGTGTCTCAAAGATTTTGTTACATTTTGATCAAAACATATATTCTTGCCATTGCTTCTAATCAAAATGACTGTTCTCGAATTTTCTTTCTTAAAAACATATCAAGTCTGAAAAATTCAAAAGCTCTTCAAGCACGGAAATTCTAACACTTTGTTGATGTTTTAGATAAACAATGATGTGTAAATCAAATCTAAATAGAATTCGAGAGATTCTTATAACATATATTACTACTGACTTTGTCAAAAATATTTCTGAAGATGACGAGTCGAATTCTGACCTAGACTATTCAGTTGCTGAAATGGAATCTGATGACACAGCAACTGATGAATATATTTCAAAAGAAGATTCATCAGATTCTAACAGTACTAATGATAATATAGATATAAGGATGCGTGTGTGTCGGTGTTGTTTAAAAAAAAGATATCCATCCCAACATCACATCCGCACCTCAGACGCACATCAACACCCATACCCTAAGTGACTATATATATGGATATATGTAAGGACATTTACTAGCTTGTGGTGTAATTAGACCTGTAATTTCTTTAAGTAATATTTTAAATTCGTAATGCTATTATAATCCCTTCTTAAAAATGTCTTGTAAATTGCAAAATTTTTCACATCAAGATCTGTGCC